TGGTTTTTAGAACAGAAGGAAATATACTGTAACTTTCCCTTATTTTTCTGGTGGAGAGAAATTTTTTTTTGCCAACAGGAAAATGTGATTCCACTAAGATTCTTGGGTCATAGATCAGAGGCTTGGATCAGCAAAAAGAAATGAACTTTTGGAAGAATTCTGGTCCAATATTATGGGCCAGTTCAAACTACAATGTAGGCAATGGCAGGCTGCCTCCTTTCTCCCTATAAGGAAAGGCAACATAGCAGTAATATTTACCAGAGAAAGGGAAAAGGGCTCTGCTAGTGGGTGGAGTGGGGGGATAGCTTTTCAATAAAATGTTAGGTTGCCTAACATAAGCAGCTTTTCAGAATCCCTGGGAAAACTTGAAGGGGAAAAAAAGATTAAAGTTGTGCTAAAAGAGAATCAGAATTTTGTTTGTGAAATTTGTCCAGTGGTAGTCAACTCTTATTTCTTGTAGTATTGAAGAGTTAACAAAACAAAACAAAACAAACCGAAACACTTATATTTTACCTTGGAGAGCATTTTGTGATTTTTTTTTTGTTGTAGATTGAACTTTCTAATTGTGTTTTTCTTTGCTTGCAGTCCTGGAACACACAGTGGTGGGTATAGGGTTAGACAATTATGGAGCATACTCTGAGTGGAAGGAAGTAACTGGAAATTTTTAAAGATGTTAAGATAAACAACAAATCAGTCCCAAAGCAAATAATACTTGGCTACTGGTTGTACTTTCTTATATAATTTTGATTGTATTAAAGGTCTCAAGTTTTTCAACTATATTTTGAACATTTTGAATAAATTTCAATTCGTGATGTGTAATAGCAGTTATTGATAATTTTTATCCAAATATCTAGATTTTCCTAATGAAGAGGATAGACTACAGTACTTGATGGAACCTTTACTGTCTTCCTCAGTCATCTTAAAATCCTTTCTACATTAATTTAAAAAATCCATTCTGCTGATTTCTCTTCCTAGGTCTGAAGTTTGCTTGTACCTACACTGAAGGTTTATACCAGACAGGCTGTGCGTGGTGAAGGTTCCTGTACACTTCTCTTGGGACCTCTAAAACTCGGGCAGGAGGGCTTCCTCCCCGCAAAAATAACAACTTCTATTGAGTGTAAAGTGATTTCAGTGAGTCACAGGAAAAGTTTGAGATTTTCAGGACCACAATTATGTAAGAAATGTTATGTGTATAGGATATCTATGAGGTAGTTTTATCCCATGTGTTCAATGAAAAATGCAAAATATTAGAAATGAACAAGAACATTCACACCGAACTGTTTACAATATAAAGAAGAAATAAAAAGTAACTGTGTTAGTTCAGGAAAAATGAAATTTATCAGTTTTACTTAATTTGTTGTCCATTTTAAGTTTCTTTACCAAAGCATTTCTTTATATGTTCTTATAAAAATGGCATCTGCCCATTGCAAGAAGTAATAAAAAATATTAGACCTGTACAGAGATTAAAATATCATGCCCATTGCCACCATACTAGATCCAATCAGCATTAACGTGTTGGTGATTGCCCTCCAAAATTACAGCAGGGGCTTTTTAAAAGTACAATCTTAAGGCTATATCTTGTGGCCAGTGTGTATTGCATCACATTTTCTGGGGTTCGTGATGAGGGACTTTCTTTCTTCCCACACTTCTTTCCTTGTTGTTTTTGAATTGCTTATGTTATGCTTGAATATACCTATGTTGTAAATGAGTCAAACAAGTAAACACTGAATAAAATATGAGACTTTTTCAAGTCACCTTCACTCCAGCTGTCTTTTCCATCATCAGAGGTCATCACTGTCAACAGTGCCGCCTGCCAGGCACCTGTAGGTGCATTTACAGCATAGATGTATAGATTTACAATTTTCAAATGGACATATTTTTGTACATATAGGTATTAATATATATAAGTAGATATAGATATATACTGTTTTATGATTTGCCTTTTCAGTTAATGATATGCTGATGAAGTTTTTCCATATTCTATGTAATCATATACTGATTGGGTCTTTATTCTTCTGTTATTTTTATTTTGTCATTTTACATTTATTTTTAAAGAAATAAATCAATATATTTGTATTGTAACAAATTTAACTATACAAATAAAGCAAAAGTCCTTGAATTACATGCCAGAAGTAATTTCTGTTAGCAGTATGATGTACACTTTGTCCTTCCTGTTTTTAAAACTCTCTCTTTCATTGTTTTGGTGAGAGATTTAAAATTTTTAACCCCAATTTTTTTGCAACTTGCTTTTTTTTTTTTCACTTAACAGTGTACCTTAGAGATATTTCCTTGTTAATATATAGATATCTGCCTCTTTATATTGTATTTCATAGTATGGATTAGCCATGGCTTATTAATTATTTGTTCTTGGTGAATATCTACATTGTTTTTATTATCTGACAATTATAAACAAATTACAGTAAATATTCCTGTACATGAATCTTTGTGTACCTGTTTAAATGTTCTCTAGTATAAGAAAAAAAATTGCTGGGTTGATGGGAATGTGCATTTTTAATTTAATAAGAACTGCCATATATCTTCCAAAAATTTGGTACCATTTTGATCCTTCACTGTTGGTAATTTTTTTATACCTTTAATAATACCGAGTGTTATAAATCTTAAAAATTTTTCTGTTCTCAAGAATCATTTCATTGTTGTATTAATTAATTTTCTCTTTTATTGCTTCGGATTTTTAGTACCCATTTTTATTTTGGAATGTTGTTAGCTTTCTTTCTCTTACTGATTTGCAAGAGGTCTTTTTTAAAAGTAAATATTCTTTTCAGTTTTATATGTTTCAAATGTTTTCTCAGTCTCTCTTATAATATACTCACTACATGAAAGTATTTAATTTTTAAATAGTCAATTATTTTTTGCATTTTCTCAAATTTTGTTTCTTGCATAAGAAAAAGGTTTTCTCAACTCAAGGTTTATACACATACATCTATAATTACATACTAAGGAAATTATTAAATTCTATCATCCCAAAGGCATTTATAGAATTGTATCTTTTTCTTACTGATTTGGAATACTACCTATATCATACGGTTAATTCTCAAACAGTTGTGATTCTGTTTCTGAACGCATATCTGTTCCATTGAGCTATTTGTTTACTGCCAGTGTCATACTTTTAAATGACTTTAGCTTTATAAAAATTTCGCTATTTAATTAAGATCATTCCTCCCCAGGTTAGTCCTTCACATCCAGCAATACCTTATTTACACTATATATCAAAATATTACATAAATTCCTCTTGATATTTTGATAACGATTACAGTGAATTTTAGATTAATATAGGGACAGTTTTGTAGTATTTAATCTTTTTGTCCAGAAATATGTTGTACACCTATATTAATTCAGATCTCATATAACCTTTAGGTTGTCTGCCTAAAGTTTTTAACACATTTGTTCTGTGTTTATTCTTGAATATTTTACTGGATTTGTTGCTGTTGTGTTGGACTTCCTAACTGGTTTGTTCATGTATAGGCAGACTTTTGTTTTTTTATATGTTAATTTTTTTTTGCCATAGAACTGTACCAAAATCTGTTAGTTCTAATAGTATCAGTTGATTTTCTTGATGTTCTAGAACAGCTCTGTCCAATAGAAGTATAATGCAAACCATAGATGCAAACCACATAATGTAATAAAAATTTTTAGTACTTATTTAAAAAGTACAAGGGAAATGGGTGAAATTTACCTTAACAATACACTTTAATGCAACATATCCAAAATATTATAATTTTAACGTTAAAAACTTAGTGACTGACTTGTACTTTTTTTTTTTTTGCATTAAGTCTTTGGAATTCAGTGTATATTTTATACTTATAGCAAAATGCAATTTGGACTACATGGCCACGTTTCAAGTGCCTCAAACCCACACTGGCTACTCTGTTGGATAGTGCACAAACAGATTGCTTGCAAGTGTCGAAATTTTTTTCCTTGTTTTTTGGGGGGTCTTTTTTTTTCTTGCCTTAGTATCTTTTGCTTGGAGCAGCAGTAATACAGTGCTGATGTTGGTGATAATGGAAATTCTTCCAATAGTTGACCACTGTGGATTTCTGATTAGATAAACTTTAGATAGGTTTTTTTCTTTTTTAGTTTGTAATAATTCTTTCTCTTTAAATTAAGAATAAGTTTTAAGTTTAATTTAAAATTTTTGGTATCTATTGAGATTGCCTTATTTTCTTTTCCTCTATCTTTTTTAAATGAAGAGAAATAAATAAAATTTTAAATGGTAAGCTATTTTTGCATTTCAGAGACAAACCCTTCTTGATCATGAAGCATTTATTCTTTTAACAAAATTTTCTACAAGATTTCATCATCTTTTCTCTGATTTAGGCTATCCAGAAAATCTCTGTTCATTTCTCTATTTTGTTTTAAATGCAGACTTTTTTCAGTTTCTGTATCAAGAAGGTTTTTCTGGTCTTGTCAAATGAGTTGTGTAGATATGATTCATGTCCTTACTTTGGAACTGCTTATATAATATGAGAATTATCTGTACTTTGAGGGTTTAGTTGACTTGTTTGTAAAATAATCTGGACCCGGTTTGTTTTTAGAGAAAATTATAAACTCCATATTCCAGTCTTCTAAGGTTATTTGTCCATTCATCCTTTTGTCTTTTAGGTCAATTTTGGTATTTTATATTTTCCTAGATATTTTAATATTTTGCTTAGGTTTTCAAATATATTTGTATAATAAAGCTGTACATGAAAATTTCTTATGTATATGTTTTGAGATATAAAGAAATATAGAAAAATATTATTAGAAACTTAATAGTGATTATCTATGGCAGTGGAATTATGGGAATAGGCAATAATATGGTCTTTAAAATTTTTATGTCCTTGGCAATACGAGTTTCCAAATAATAGACTTGTTTTACTTTCATAATAAAAGAAGAGAGTGTTATTTCAAACTTTTAAACATGAAAAAGTATTGAATATTATACAGAAATATATTCCTCTTACTAGTCCCAGCACAACTTAACTGTATGTTTTCTTCTCCAGCTGGACTCTGGACTGTCTTCACACTGGGAGGTGTGGGCAGCAAAGCGGCTGCTGCTCCAGAACTGTCTTCCCCTCTGGCCAACCAGAGTCTCCTGCTCCTCCTGGTACTGGCCAACCTGACAGATGCTACAGATGCACCAAATCCCTACAGACAGGCCATCATGTCCTTTAAGAATACACAAGGTCCGTGGTACCTTTTTCCCTGAATATCCTTTCTAATGAGGAAAGTGTATTATTTACTTCATGTTATTTATTTCTTATAGTTGTGGAGATGACTGTCAATTTGTATATTTTCATATTTGTTAAAGATGAGACTTAGATTTTTCTGTCTATATTCTCATCTATAAATCTTAGATGAGGGCTATGGTTCCTTATATGCATTTAAATTTACATTTATTTCAGAGATAACCAAGCTAGCATGTGCTTAATTTGGATCTTCCTGTCCTACCTGTTAGAGATAAAAATTAACCTGGAAAACTCCAAATGATAAATTGTTTGAAAATTTTCACTTAATGTCTATATTCTAGTTAGAGTTTTATAGAACTAAAAAGTAGAACAACTCAGCAGACATTTTCTGCAAAGGGGTAAGTGGCTTTGCAGGTCCATGGGGCCTCTGTCACCACCTGTTAACCCTGGTGTTGTAGCACAAAATAGGCATAGATGATACATAAGAGAGTGTGCATTGGCTGGTTCCAGTAAAACTTTATTTCCAAACAGGTGGTTGCCTGTGGGCTATAATTTGCCAAACTCTGAAGTAGAGCATGAGCAGATAGTTCTATGCTGAAGCAGTAATCTTTCATCAAATAATTATACTCTAAGGCAAGATTAATATGGTAGCTAAATTATCAAGATATATCCAACACTAATATAATTAAGATGGGTAAGAAGTGCAGTTAATTGGTAGGGACATTTTTAAGACTTCTGATGTTCTTTGCCTTGTTTCTTTCCAGAGCTGTCCTAACATGCTTCTTATAGACAGTGGACGAGTGTGCTAGTTAGTTGTGCCTTTGCCAATTCTGATATTATTATTTGTGGGGAAATAGGGAGTCTCTAATAATTTGATAGATTAAAAAAATGAAAACTAATATATCTAATATTATTTTCTATTCCCATTACTGTACTGTTCTTAGTGACAGTGTGTCTTAATGGTTAAGAAAGCAGGTTTTAGAATCCAGCAGACCTAACTTTCTGCCACACTTCTGTCGCTTCAGAGCTGTGAGGCCCTTCACAGTTTGCTTAATCATAGTAAGCCTCAATGGCTTTGTCTGTAAAATGGAGATAATATCACTAATGATATTTGCATAAGTACCAAGCAAGGTAAAGTTTTAAAATGATTACCTCAGATTTTGCAATATAACAGGTATTCATTATCTGCTACCTGCTGCTGTTATTCTGGCTGCTCTGGCCAAATGTTCCTATTTGGGGTTGAACCTTTCTGGGATAGTCATCTTTTGGGAGACCACGTGGTACAGTGTGATTCAGGATATTGGCTTTGGAGTTAGACTAACCTGGGTCTATATCCCAGTTTTTATTCTTTAAATACTAGTTTCTTTATTTGTGAAGCAGGGATTATAATCTCAAGGGATTATAATCACAAGGTTCTTATAAGAATTAAATGAGCATCTATCATAATAGTGACTCATTGAATGATTAACTGATAATGTATAAATGCTATGGACACACACACAGCACACATATTCCATTTGCAGTCAGGCATAATATAGGTTGGTGAACATGCTACTTTGCTTCCATTGTAAAGAAGTGTAGTGTATCTGCAGTCTTCCTCCACTGAGTCTTCTGTAGATTCTATTTGCATACTCATAGTATGTGCAACACTTTCTGTTTGCCATCCCTTGCAAAAATATGAAGTCAGTCACATAAAACAAATTTTTTTTGTAAGTGTCAAAGATGCAAGGTTAAGATTGAAAAAATAACCTATATTCTAATGTGGCAGGAAAAACGAGGGCACTTTGTAGTAAAGTTGAAGATGTTTTTTAGATGCGTTCTTCTCACAGATGTAAAGGTTAGAAAGGAGAGCCGGAGAGGCATAGGACTGTGCCATCAAAGACTGCACACATTTCTTTTCTATAAGAGCACAGCCTTTGGAAACATTAAAGCCGTGTTTTTAAATTGTTTTTTTGTTTTTGTTTTGCTAGTGGTTCTGTAGTTTTTTGTTTTTTTTTTTTTGTAAATCTTGGTGCTTACTTTTCAAAACATTAAAATATCAACTCTTTGTACTGTCATGTTCCAGTTTTATCTGATGAGCTTATAATTTTCTCTAAAGTAATTGACCTATCTTTACTTCCTTTTTGACTTCCCAGCCTTGCTTGCGTCAGTTTCTAAGCAAATCTAGTTAACTGTAAGAAAGAAGCTGTATCAGTTATGGGATATCAAGAATTTTCCCAATATAGCCATGATTTATGCTTTTCGCCATTCCAGCGAGGCTACTTAAGAAAAGTTTCTTAGCAGCCTTGCAGACGCTGCTGCTCCAGAGCCAGTGGTCCTCAGCAATGGTCAACCCAACTGTTTTCTTCAACATCGCCGTTGACGGTGAGCCCATGGGCCACATCTCCTTCGAACTGTTTGCAGACAAAGTTCCAAAGACAGCAGAAAACTTTCGTGCTTTGAGTACTGGGGAGAAAGGATTTGGTTATATAGGTTCCTGCTTTCACAGAATTGTTCTAGGATTTATGTGCTAGCGTGGTGACTTCACACACCATAATGGCATAGGTGGCAAGTCCATCTATGGGGAGAAATTTGATGATGAGAATTTCATCCTGAAGCATACAGGTCCTAGCATCTTGTCCATGGCAAATGCTGAACCAAACACAAACAGTTCACAGCTTTTCATCTGCACTGCTGAGACTGAGTGGTTGGATGGCAAGCATGTGATCTTCAACTGGGTGAAAGAGAGCATGAATTTTGTGGGGCCCATGGAGCGCTTTGGATCCAGGAATGGCAAGAAGATCATCATTGCTGACTGTAGACAACTCTAATAAGTTCGACTTGTTTTATCTTAACCACCAGACCATTCCTTCTGTAGCTTGCGAGAGCACGCCTCATCCCACCTGCTTGAAACACCCTATTATAATCTCTGCTCTCGCTATGGTTCTTTGGGTTCTGGGTTTTCCTTGTACCTCCAAGTCTAGCTGGGTTGCAGAGTTAAGTTTATGATTATGAAACAGAAGTTCAACAACAACAAAAAAGTTGCAGTTGATTAATTTTAAGTTTTCCTTTAAACAAAAAATAGTATAGAAGTTTTCTGATAATTGTCTTAGGTTTGGTTTATTCTATTATAGAAGCTGATGTTGAACACAGTAATTTTGATATTACTTTAAAACTAGCCAAATTATATATTATCCTATCTATTTTCTTCATAAATGGGTTGACATTGGTGAATACTTCAGCCATGAATATTCACTCAAAAAATTTAACTTACCTTCAAGGCAGTCTTTTAACCCTATCTTACAAGATGATTTTTCGTTTTATGTAGAAACTCTTGTGTTCTTTATCTCTCAATATTTTTATTTAGGACTAGTGGTCATTTAGTTTTGGTAACAAACTATCTCAAAGTCATGGTTAAATTGTTCTATTAGAAGGCCTTTTGCCCCATAGCTCTGTTTATTTAAGCTCATATTTGTATAGCTGATTTAAATCACCTATATTAATGCAAAAATAGTAATGAGGTCAAACTTCATGATTTAGTTTAGTTTTTTTTTTTTAATTTGGCTTTTTTTCGGATGCAAAGTCACTTTGTTAAGTGGTACTTGCACATATATTTATCATCATTGGAAATCTGTAGTTTAGATAGTGTAGAGAAATTGTCTCAATTTTTTCCTTTTTTTTTTGTTAAGAACATTTCAGTTCTCTCAGATTTCAGTTATACAATACAGTGTTATCAACTGTAGTCACCATGTTTTACATTAGTTCTTTTTTTTACGTAAAATTTAAAATATAAATTGAAATTTTGAATTCAAAATGTAGCAAATGATACAAAATTAATGGAAATTGAATTGTACATATTAGCAGTGCTTTTATTATTTATACAAGACACAGTCCAGAAAATACTGATATAATATTTTTAATTTTTTGTGTTTTCTGTATTCTAGATAACAGCCCTTTCCCCTCATCAATTCCACATGCTTTCCAGATTAATTTTAACAGTTTGTACACGGCTCTCTGTGAACAGCAGACATCTGATCAAGCCACTCTCCTCTTGTATACATTGCTCCATCAGAATAGTAATATTAGAACATACATGTTGGCTCGCACAGATATGGAAAATCTTGTAAGTATCATTCTAAATATTTCATGTTTTTTGTATTTTATAATATTTCGAAGAATAATTTTTTTTCTCCAGAAGGTATACTTAAAGGTTATGGTTGAGAAACTCATGGACGTGGACTATAGACTAGTGGTTATCAAAGGGGAGGACATAGCGGGGAGGCGGGAGGTAGCTGGGATAAAAGGGGTCAAATATGTGGTGACAGAAAGAAATCTAACTATGGGAGGAGAACACACAATGCAATGTATATGTGCCTTACTGTTGAATTGTACACCTGAAACTTACTGGATTTCGTTAACCAATGTCACCAAAAAAAAAAAAAAAAAAAGTTATAGTTGAGAGATGGGGACACAGCGGGGAGGCGGGAGGTAGCTGGGATAAAAGGGGTCAAATATGTGGTGACAGAAAGAAATCTAACTATGGGAGGGGAACACACAATGCAATGTATATGTGCCTTACTGTTGAATTGTACACCTGAAACTTACTGGATTTCGTTAACCAATGTCACCAAAAAAAAAAAAAAAAAAAGTTATAGTTGAGAGATTGATGTGGGGAATGTCACCAAACACAGGCAAAGGTTTGAGTTTTACAATGTAGGATACAGAGCACATAGAGACAGCGTCCCAGAGCTGGGGAACATGACAGCATGACAAGCTTTCCTGTGTTTTAGGTCTTTAACAGCCACCCACTGCCCATGATTCAGCCTAATTAAGTTCCCTAAGAAGTTCCCTGAAAAATCACCCTTAGCCATTCCCAAGAAGATTTTTATACCATCTTAGTTCCTTCCAGCTGCTGCCCGCCTGCCCACTAGGTTCATGTAGCTAGGCACAATAGCAGCATATTCCTGATGAGAATGGCTTAAAGGGTGATTTTTCAACCCAGTTTTTGAGGGCTGTCATCCCTGTGACAAGCTTAGCCTTTGGGGCTGCCTGCACTCAATTCCTGGAGTGTTGTAGTTATTTTAAGGTACCATTGCCAGACATCACTTAAATGTACACTATTCTTCACAATGCGAGTGAAATTGGTTCCAAATTTTTGCTCACAGATAAAAACTCCTATGGCAGTCTGGTTTCCATTATAACTTATGTGTAAACATTAATGCTTCTATTAATACTATATTTGATATGCATAATATATTGATAACTATGTGTTATTAATGCATTAATAAAATTGTTAACATTCCTGAAATAGCCAGCAGCTTGCTGGCAGCAAAAGGAATGTCCCCTTGGCACTATTTTGTACAGGTTGATAGCAAGATTCACAAGGTATTTGGTAGCCATTTTTTTAGGTTAAAGATAAAATATTAAGTAATAAGGGATATTAGAATTCATTTGAAGATCATATTCTGTGACAAAATGACAGGACAAAAAAACGTGATGAAAGACCATCTCTATATCAGCTATATTTGGGAAACATAGGCTTAAGTAGAAAAATTGGGTGTAACAGTGTGCAGCTTATATAAGTAAAAGCTTGTGAAGAGAAGGCTTATTTACTGATGGATGAGTATAAGCACAGAGACAGTTCTGAGCATTATGTATCCTAAAGGAAATGATAGCAATGAGCAGAAAGCCTGTGACATCATCTGTTCTAGAAAGTTCCAAGGTAAGATGTTGGTATATAAGATGATGCAGGATGCATTTGCTGTATGTGATGATCTACACCAGTGAAAAGTTAAAAGGTTTTGTTTTTAGGTGGGAGGGTGGAGTGGGGACTGTTTATTTGTTTTGGGTTTTTGTTTGTTTTGTTTTTAATTTTCTTGCATAGATTACTTTGGGAGTGTCTTAACTGATGTCTCTATCTGACCTTTTGCCTTTTATAATAAATATTGAGGCTATGATTAGAAAATATATCGTGTAGGAAATGCACTGTGCTGATTTGATTTTGTTGTTGTCGTTAGCAATTCTTTTATTCTATAATCTTTGCTTTTAAGGAGGTAATGTCAGTTACAGTGTTTCTAAGAATACTTTATTGTGTGTTAAGTTCTTGCTAGGCTGGAGGCAGACCTGCCTCTATGCAGTTCTAGTGTTGACTGTGAGCCTGAATGGTCTCTGCAAACCCAACCTTTATGTGGCAGCAAACCTTCACATAGGGTGATGGAAAGCACTTTCAGGCTGGGGGGGGCGGGGGGCGGTGGGGGGTGTGTGTGTGTGTGTGTGTGCGTATGTGTTTCTCTTAAGAAAAATGTAACTGAAGTTCAAGCAAAGAGTAAGAAAAAAAAGCAAAGGGTAGATAAAAGGATAAAAGTTGAAGACATTGGTCTTACAATAAAGTAATAGAAGTAGTAAATTACAATTTATATTCCCTAGGTTTTACCAATTCTAGAGATTCTGTATCATGTTGAAGAAAGAAACTCACACCATGTGTACATGGCCCTTATAATATTGTTGATCCTTACAGAAGATGATGGCTTCAATAGATCCATTCACGAAGTGGTAAGTTCCTATTCCTTTGATCAGAGTTATAGAGTGACAGAAAAGACATGTCCCCTATTAAGATTTACTGTGGCCTTAGCATTTCTTCCTTTTCCTTCTGGTAGCTGTTTGCAAGAACCTGACTTAGAAATGGTGTGTTTCCTTCAGATTTATGAAGTGGTGCTTTTTTTCTGAATGACTATTAACCACTATTAAAAACTCAAAATGGTTTCTTTAGTAATTAAAGCAAATGTTTTTGTTGCCCCTGGGGTCATTTTTCCTCTCCATTTCATTTCCATTTTTTAGTTGAGGCAGAAATTGTCCAACAGGTTTGCCCCTCATATACAGAATGAGTGAAAGAATAGGGAACAAAGGGGAGAAGACTGAGAAATCAATTGTTTTATGTTTAAAAGTGTAACACTTTAAATTTTAGTCCTGTTGATAAGTTCCATTACCAAACTGATTTTATCTTCCTGTTTGGTATTTTCTTTGTGTTAAAGTAATATATGTACTATATACACAGTATAAAACTTATCAGTAAGTACTAGATTTTTTTAAAATTTTATTTTAAAATTATAGTTAACTTAGAATATTATATTAGTTTTAGGTATACAACATATTGATTAGACATTTATGCACTTTATGAAGTGTCACCAGGGTAAGTTGACCCATCTGACACCATACATAACTATTACAGTATTATTGACTATATTCCCTGTGCTGTATTTTACATCCCTTTCTTATGACTATTTTTTATAACTGGCAGTTTGTACAGAGTGCTAGGTTTTAATGAAAAATAGCAGACTCCCTGTCTATCCTGTTCCTAATTCCAGCTCTGATCATATTTTGAATGCTTATAATATTGTTTTTTGATTTTTCATATTTAGGTATTAACTATTCGTAAGATGGAAGATGAGTCATTAGCTCTCCTTCCTGCACATCTTGTGTGTTCTCTCTGAGTTCCCAGCCCCCTTTCCACACATAGACTCTTTCCTCCTTCCATCTTATTACTGTTTTTGGTTAACTCAGGTTTTACATTTTTATGACTGTGTTAACTATTATTCTTAGCTCAGATGGAGTGTATGATAGTTGCATTTCCTTTCTTGTACATGTTTTAATCTTTCTGTAGCACATCGTTGCCCTGTTTTTTACTCATGTACCAATCACTAATGCAACTCCCAGTAGTTCAGCAGAACTGAGAATTTCTTCTAAATCTATTAAAATAGACTGCTTATTTTCTCAGTTCCATTTTCTTCTTTGACTCCGGTCTTGGTCCACATTGGAGGCTCTCTCAAATGTCTAGTGATCCTTGCTTATCTGTTCATATTTAGGAGTAAGGCACTAAAAAGTTGATTGGCAGTCCTATGCGTGGGCAGAATTTACTTGCTGTATCTTGCTCTACATAGTCTGTTTCTCTGGGCATCCTGCTCTCTGTAGGCCTTTTCTTTTGGGCTGATCAGTTTCTCAGGGGAGTCTTCCAGTATCCTTGCTGTGGTGTCTAATGGAAGATGGGGCTAGCGGTTTCACTCTTCATTGGGTACAAACATTTTCTTTCCTTCTTGTCTTCAGTATGGCTTTTGTTTCATCTTTCTTTTCTCTGATGCTCCATTAAAAAAACTTTTTTTTCGCTTCTTATACAATATGTCCATCATTTCAACTAAGATTTAAGAATCTTGACACTGTAGAAAGAGGGTAAAGCATACAAATCTCTTGATATTAATATTTGCTATAGTACCATGAGAGAGAAAATATCTGCACTGGTTTACTCAGTTTTTAAAATATCATTTATCTCTCTTTTGATGGAGTAAAAAAACCGATATGATTTTTAAAAACATTAAATAGTGTAAATAGAAAGTGCACAAATTTTGAAGTTACAACTTATGAGTTTTTACATTTGTATATACCTGTGTTATTACCACCCAGATCAAATTATTGAACATTTCTAGCCTAATAGAAGACTCCCTTATGCCCTCTCCTGGTCGGTACCCCATATCAACCAGAGTTAAGTACTAGTCTGATTTTCTTCCCAGTAGATTAGTTTTTGCATCTCCTTGAATTACAGTGTGTTCTCTTTAATGTTGGCTTCTTTCAGTCAATATAGTGCTGCTGAAATTTACCCATATTATTACATCATTAGTTTGTTGTTTTTTATCTTTATGTGCTATTTCATTGTGTATTTATATACAGGGAATACCATTTATAAATATTTCAACATGTCACTTTAACAAACATAAACTTTAAAAAATATACAACCATAATACCATTATCATATCCAACAAAATCAGCAATAGTTTTTAATACCTAATTACTCAATTTATTTTCTCCAGTTATCTTTAAAATATCTTTTCTGATTTGGTTGTTTTGAATTAGTTTTCGAAATCCACTTACTACAGTTACTTCTTAAGGCCCCTTTTAATCTATAACAGTCTCTCCCTCTCTCCTTTTTACAACCACTTATTTGTTGTAGAAACTGGGTGATTTTTTTCAGTAGAATTTCCTGTATTTGACTTTGGCTAATTATATCACTGTGTTATTTAACATGTACTTCCATCCTCTGTGTTTCATATACGCTAATGATTAGAACAGAGGCTTGATTAGATGTCACATATGTCTCTTTTAGATTATTATATTTCACTACTTTTTAATGGCTTTTTGTCGTCCACTCATAGCGATATATTAATGTCTGGATTCCTTTGTTTGAAAGGTGATGGGACATTCCTCAGCACCTGCGGGCGATGGCGGCTGCCGTGCTCTGCAGGGGAGCATATCTCCTTAGTGGAGAAGGCAGGAATCAGCCCATAAGCCTTTTTCTTTTTCATGTGTAGATGGAAAAGAATGTGGCACGCTGAATCCCTGGGTAAAGGAGAAAGGAAATACGAGTGACCTAAATGGAAGGGAACATTAGGGAGTTCTAATGCTCAGCTGAGTCTGTCAGTTTTTCTGCATTTTACCTCCTTCCTTGTGACAGCCCAGAATTGGCTGCTATGTTGCCCAGTCTTTGTTTCTCTCTCCTTTTGATAGCCCTGCTACAAATCTGTAGAACCGTGCCAACTTAAGTTAGAAAGCAGTTCTTGCGTTTTGAGGCCTGGAGGTGTAAGCACCAGAACTCCTGCTCAATAGCCAGGCAGAACACAGGTGCGTCTCTTCCTGAAGATCTTGGCTTGTGTTCTAAACTTTTCCTGAACACAAGCATGGAGATTTTCTGTGGTTGTTGGGGCAGCTCCTTGGTTTTCTTATTTTGCTTTCAAACTACTGAACTCTGATTGGTTTTTCTTTAAGTCTGTCCGGTGTATCATACCTTTTTATCTGCTAATGATATCCTCCTGTTTTCCAGACCTGTTTTTTTCTTTGGTGTTTAAGAAGAAGTAAACATATCAGCACAGTTTGGCTATCCTGAAAGATTCACAATTCACTTTTATATACTATTTAACTCACCTTCAGAGCAAAGCCATGCCTTATCAGAAATTATAGACGTGGACAATCCTTTTTTCCTTAGTCATGTTTACTTAAACTTTTCTTCCACATTACAGATATTAAAAAATATTACTTGGTATTCCGAACGGGTTTTAACTGAAATTTCACTGGGAAGTCTCCTGATACTGGTTGTAATAAGAACCATTCAATACAACATGACAAGGACAAGAGTAAGTCTTCCATAGCTATTTTTCTATCTTTATGCATACAGTACAATTAAGATTATAGTTGAAAGCAATCTCATTATTTAGAGTGCTAATATCCTCATGAAATACAGTAGAAAAATACAGAGCAGCATATAGTCACTGTATTACATGAGCCTAAGGTACCATATGTAGTGTCTGTTTCTTAATATGTGATTGTATGATTAGAAATACTTTACACAAAATAGAAAACAAGCAGTGGAGCACATTTAGATATGATGTTTTATGTCTTTGCTGGACCGATAAAACTGATTTACCTTTTAAAAGCAGCAACAAACTAAGAAGATACAAGCATAAGAAAATATGAATTTAGTTGGGAAAGAAAAAAAAGAAGAAAGAGAATACTTTAAAGAGTAAAAGGACAATTTCTAATGGATTGTATTTGTAGTACCTGGGAGCAAATTTCAGTTTCGGTCAATAGAGAAGCAATATACAGAATTCATAGCTCAGAAAAATGGTCGAGTTAACTGAACTGTTTTCGATTATTTCTTTCTGTGGGGCTAACATAGATACATGTCTACAATCTTTTATCTGAAACTCTAGGAGCCAGATGTATTTTAGAATGAAGAATGTTTTGATTTTAGAAAGATAATTGTAGTGCATATGCTTACACTATATGTAACCATTAGGATCTGGAGCAGCACACTGTAATTAAACATTAATATTTCTGCAGTGAAGTATTTCAGTGTTCACCAGGGTAGGGATAATGAAGACCATAAATAGCATCATACTCCTTTGTGCCAGATGTTGCTTCCAAATGAGTGGTGAAAAAACTTTGAACTTTCAGTGCTTTATTGATTTTGGAATTAGAGAGAAGGGATCATGGAACTGAACTTTCAAAAATCAATGACAATCGAGTTTACATTTGCTTCTAATTAACCTTGCTTAAAATATAGAGAAGACTTGATGAATGTTTTCAACTTGCTGTTTTCTGACAGGACAAGTACCTTCACACAAATTGTTTGGCAGCTTTGGCAAATATGTCGGCACAGTTTCGTTCTCTCCATCAGTATGCTGCCCAGAGGATCATCAGGTAAATATGAGCTTCAGAAGAAATCCTGATTTTTGCCTTCTGGCTGACCTATTGACAAGGACACTATGGCGGTCCCTTTTTAAATGTTATCTGCAAAGAATAGCAAATTTTCCTACTTAATTTTTTATTACCTTTTTTGGTTGAAAATACCTTGTTCTCTTTTGTTTTCTAACCTAACTTTTCAATCAAAGTTAATTGTATTTAATTTCAATCTTTTCATAAGTCTTGGTTTAAGCTTTGCATGTTAGCTTTTTACAGAGGAACAGGTTTATTAGTAATGCAAACTAAATCTTAACATATTTACTGAGCATATTATAGAGTATCACACTATCCTTTTGAGGAGTTATCCGTTTGTTTTAGAGGATTATTTTTATAGTGGTTTACCATATTAGTTTCCAATTGTTGCCACAAATTAATGATTTAACACAAATTTATTATATAGTTCCGTAGATTAGAAGTTTAACACTGGTCTCACTAGGCTAAAATCAAGATGTCAGCAGGGCTGCATTTCTTTCTGGAGGCTCTAGAGAAGAATCTGTTTCCTTGCCTTTTCCAATTGCTAGGAGCTCCACATTTCTTGGCTCATGGCCCCTTCCTCCATTTTCAAAGCCAACAAGAGTAGGTTGTTGAGTCCTCCTCACTTCTTGTCACGCTGACTTCCTCTTCTGGTTCCCTCTCCCACTTTGAGGGTCCTCGTGATTGCCTTGACCCTACCCAAATAATCCAGGATAATCTACCCGTCTCAGGGTTTTTAAATGAATCATAACTGCAGAGTCCCTTTGCCATGTAAAGTAACATACTGACAGGTTCAGGGGATTAGGATGTGGATATTTTGGGAGGAGCTATTTTTCTGTCTGCCACAATATCAGCATAAACCCCTCTGTCTGAAGGCACCCTTTGCCAAATATACAGTCTTTAAGAGTAGGAAAGCTAATTAACAAACGATAAATGAATGTCTTTTGCATGGATTTTAAACATATGTGGGTACTTGTTGATCATTAGGTAGGATGCTCAAGATTGTATTAGTGGCTCTCAAGTAGAAGTTTTCTATGTAAGTCAGTGAAGTCAGATCGTTTCCTTTAATTCTTGCTTTTTGGGCAATGCCGTTTTGACTATTAGTTTTTGTGTTCCAATCATTGGTGGTGATCACAACTTCATATTACTTTAAACTCTAATCACTTTCTGCTCATTGATTGGAGACATTTATTAACCTTGGCTCATTTTTATCAGTCACTCAGAATTAATTTATGGTCTTCGTTTATTTATCCTCAGAATTTAGTAGAGGATATTTTCTGCTAAATTAAACTAAAATAATCCAGTACATTATATTGGATTATTTTGAGGGTTCATACTTGAGAGATTGTCTAGTTTACTGACATGGACTAACGCTAACTTCATAATTTAAACATAGTGCCTCTTCATACTTGAAATTCTTCCAGATGTTCTAAGAGACTTTAGTTTCTTAAAAATTAACCTTTGTCACCATGCTTTATTTTAGCATGACCGATTTAGTGTATCTGTACTTCTTTGTGGTCTGTTTTTCTTTGCGTGTATGTGGAGTTTTATAATGATTTTATGAAGATTTCATTACAAGATTAATTTTCCTCAACTGATTTGTGAACCTTTGACTCCTTCAGCATTAAAATGCCAGTTGAACTGGTACATAATTTAAGTTCTGATAAAATGTATTAAGCAAGATTAAATAAAAATTTTCTAGGTGTAAGAATTAGAGAAAAAAGCACGGTGCCAGATTTTCTGTATATGATGAGTAAGGTAGAAAATCAATCATATTTGGAAAACTGAGAAACGTAATTTTGATTTGCAATTTGGGACTTTTGATCAGGTTTATCATCAATAAGGAGTACCGCTTTACTTAATTTTAATGGAGTTTTGTTTACCATTACAGTAGCGAAAAACTGTGTTAAGCAAGGAATACCAAAATTGTTTATAAAAATTCCTGCCTTCAAGTAGCTTGAACTTTAGTAGCCAAGATAAGACAAGGACCAACATATGTTACACACAGCAGAATGTGGTAAATGTTAGAATGAAAGAAAATTTCCGAAGGTGAGGGTGAGTGGTTCAGAGAATAGTGAGATCACATCGCATTGAGAAATTAGGCAAGGTAAGTCGAAGGAGATGGCACTAGAGACGGATGCGAGAAAGCATCAGCCACAGCAAACCAAAACGAAGAGGTGTGATAAGAGAGCATGGTTTACATTTAAAAAATAACCAGTCTCATTCAGTTGTGGACCTGTATGTACAGGGATTATAGGAGAGAAACCTTCAAGAACCAGGTGAGGCCTTCATGTGGAGGGGCTTGACTGTCAGATCCACAGTGTAGGGTAATGAAAGCAAATAGAGATGAAAAGTCAGATTTTTAACAAAAAAGAAAATGTGAATGAATGAGTTGTAAATGGATTTTAAAAGAAACAAAGTAAATTTCTAGAGTTATCAATTTCAGTAATGGTATCAGCATATTTTGTTTGTCACACTGAGGGACATGCAGTTCTAACAAGTTCCCACGTGCTGCCAGTGCTTCTGGTCCAAGGGCCACAGTTAAGTAGCCAGTATGGACCCGAGCATCTATATCATCGAGGAGGGAGCTTTTTAGAAATATAGAATGTCGGCCCAGCTTCAGACCTGCTGAATCAGAATCTTCATTTTAACAAAATCCCCAAGTGATTTGTACATTCATTAAACTTTGGAAAGCACTTTGAATTTGGGCCTGGAAATTAAGATTTATCCCCTTAGAAAACACTTGTCATGAATTGGAAATGAGGCCCAGCTTTTTTGCGTCTTGAGGAAACTCATTTTCTACTAAATGTTTGTGTTTTGGGGGGATAGAATTGTAAAGTATGATAAGGAATGCATAACAAACACTGTTTAGATGCACAGATTTATTATAGCAGTATGAGTCAAGATTCACCAGATGCTCTAGTAACTCCTTCACATGAGAAGCAATCAGTTTTTGTATACACATTTTCTAAATCCTCTTTTAGGAAGAGACTATACAATTTTGTATCTGTCAGTTGCAAAACTTAAAAAAGCCAATATTTCATGTGATCTTTAGCAAAATGCAAAACAATACCATGTTTCATTGCTGTGAAAGTAAGATGTAAATAAAGCTTTCAAAAACCTTTTAGCTAACCAATGTACTGTCTACTTGAAACTAATTTTAAAAATCTCAAAAAATAAAATAAAAACCTTAGCTGGACGTAAATGTAAAGAATGATTTCATATGGTGTCTAAGGTATTGTTTTATAGTCTATGACAATGTGTCTTCCACGAATTTTTGGTATTCTAGTATTGTAGAAAAATCACAAACGTGATTTGGGTTTTGTTCAATTGTAAAGACTAAATATGCTATAAGCATGGATATTTGAAATCATTATTTGGGACTACAGGGTTATTAATTCAATTAAAAACATTTATAAAAAGTAGATTATATGCAAAGGATTGTTGTAGGTTGCAAAGATAGCATTACTTCCTACCTTTAAGACATCCCGTGTTGCCTCTCATGTCATCTTTCAGCTGACTCCTTCCTCTGGCTCCTCCTTCACCTTTGGTTTAACAGATACTTTCTCCAGCATTTCATCCTAGATCGTTTTCTTCTTTCTGCTCATTTTCCCTGGGAGTTCACATATATGCTTGTGACTTCGCCTACTGTGCACATGCATACAGGAAACCATCCAAATGTACATTTATAATTCTGATCTCTCTCTCTCTCTCTTTTTCTCCCAGAGGCAGGTAATACAGTGTAGTGGTTAAGACCACAGATTCTGAGTTTGAGATACCAGCTCCAAAACTTACTAGCTATGGATTCTTAGAGAAGTCGCTTAACTTCTCCGTAAATCAGTTTGCCTATCTGTAAGGTAGAGTGACAGTAGTTGCTGTCTTATCTCAGTGGATAAGGTGATGATTGAATGAGTTAATACTTGTAAAGGGCCTGACACATAATATGTGCTGTATAAGTAGTGACTAGCTGAACCCTAACTCTACTAACCTCACTACCTGGGTATCCCACACTTAGCTCAAACTTTTATTCTGTTTAAGACCGTACTCATTTTTAAACCCACTCTTCCTTTTAAATCCCCTCTCCTTGGTAATGGCCCTCACCACAGCCACCTAAGTTGCCAAGCCAGAAACCTACAGTAATTCTCTACCATTTCTTCCTTTCCTTCAAATGCTAACTTTACCAATTCTGTCTAACTTTACCATTGTAATTTGCATTCATACCCTTTTTTCTGTCTTCACTGTTGCTGCCTTGGTTCACGTGTTGGTGATACTCACCAAAACTGTGTCATTAGTCCTCTTTTCCATGTTAATTTTCCAGGACAACATCCATACACTATGTATTACAATTCCTGAACACCTCTAAACCTTTGTCGACTAGCCAGTTTAAAGGGAAAACAACAACAACAACAACAACATCTTTCAGACGTTGCTGCTATAACTTTAGGTACTTCGCTATATTGGAAGGAAGTTGGAGTGAGGAGTGAGGGGCTACCATAGATTGCAGAGAACCATCTGTTTCAGAAAACCCGCAGGAGTTAGGACCCATGGTCCCAGGGCAGGTGACTTACTCTCGGAAATAACATCCTGCCAGACTTGCTGCGACAGTGCAGTGGAATGAGCCTGGGCTTTTGATCTGGACAAGCCTGGGACAGCCACTTACCAGCGGTGTAACACCAACACCCTAAAGTGTATAAACCTCAAGACTGCTACCAGTTTTAAATGTAATGAAAAAGGGACTAGTGATGAGACACTGAAGGTGACAGGTATGAATTTATCATTAAATGAACCTTATTTTTAATATAAGAAAGTATTCCTGAAATATAACCAAGAGAAATAACCAAGTATATTACCATATTTTATATTTGAATATTTTATGTTGTGTAACATTAAATTTATCCCAACTACAAACAGACCACCTTGCTTCTTAATATTCTCATTTTCAGTTCAATATATTATTTGGTTCAGAAAAAAACTCAATCCATGAA